CATGCGCTTTTTATTTCAAACGATCCAAAAAAAAAAGAAAAAAAAGAGAGGTGATAGATACAAAATTCTAGGTTTCTCAAGGAATAATTCTTCAGCACAAGTGATTAGGCTTGAAATGATAAATGGCCATCTTTCTTTTTCATCCCTTCACAAACAAGGAATCATCCATTTGCTACCCCTTTGAGCCTAGTGAATTCCTTTTAAATAAACCTTGATCAAGGATCACCCTCTACATTAGGAAAAAAACATAAAAAAAAGATCTGTTTGATGAAGTCATGCTTGACAACAAAGGAAGAATGCCTTAAGTTGTAGAAGCAAATGTCAGACAACTTGAGCAAATGTTGAAATATGCAAGAAAAAGCAAAAGTGGAAGCAATATAAAGAAAAGAAAGAAAAAAGAAAAAGGGGGAAGAAAGAAAAGATGATTGGCTGTTACAACTGAAGAAATAAAAAGAATGAACGTCCAAAAGAAAGTTTTTCACATGATATGAAATGATCCTTGGTCCAATCACCTTCAAACATGTTTTGGGCCCATTTATCCGTTCCTTCATAACCTTGAACCTTGGACTATGTTACATACCTTGAAAAGTCTATTTTGATCAAACATGACACTTGAATTGAAGAATTTGTTCCTTGCAGAATTCTCATGACCAACTTCACTTTTTTTTATTTTCTTTGCAAAATTTTCTCTTTCACAAGAATACTTGAGTGCAAGATGAAATCGTTAAAAATAATGGAAAGAAAGAAAAAATAAGAGAAAAATGAAAAAATAAAGCTTTAAGGTGAAAACCTAAAAACAAATGGGCAGTCTAGAGCAAAAATAAGATTGCAACATGAAAACTCATTGCAACCAATGATTGAGATAAAAAATCTTGGCCTTTCCCAATATGATCTTGAATTTACCATAGCTAGTCTTGACATCTATTAAAATACCACATTGTGATACTAAAAGGGTGTCAAATCTGATTTAACCATAGAAGAACCTTCAAAAAGAATTTGTTGTTAAGCCAGGATAAAAATTCAATTTTTTATATCAAGTGTGGACCTCAATTTGACAATTAATCATCCAAGCCATTTGAAAAGATGAAATTGCCATTCTGTTCAAACATGTGCATAAAATGATCACCATTTCTTTTTAGACTTAAGAGTCACATTGTTTCATAAAGGTTGACTAAGGTAGTCCTTTTGTAAGAATTTTTCCATTAAAATAAAATGTTTTTAAGGAAAGAAAATAAAAAAATTTTTTAGGAAAATAAATGGCATTATGGGAAAACACTTTTTAATACAAAAGTATGTTTAACCAGTTGAGTTTCACTACAGTTTGATGGCTTACTTTCTTTAATTCAATTTCACCAAGTTTGAATTGGTCATATGCATGTTTGATTTGAATATGAAAAATGGAAAGAAAATTTGAGAAATCCAAATTGTGAAGAAAGAAAGCAAAATTGATGAAAACTAAGCAGCAAAAAAAAAGAGAATTTGGAATTGAGATGAAAGATTCGGGATTAAAAGAAAAAGAATTTTGAAGAAAAAAAAGATTTTGGGCAGTTGCATATCTTAACCTTTTTTTTAAAAAAAATTTGAGCATTTGAATATTTTAACTTTGCATTTGCATCATTAGCTTGTCTTTCATTGATAAAGCATGTGCATATTAATATTTTTGAAAAAGACATTTGCATTTCATGTGCATCATTTTAAGAAAAGACATTTGAATTGCATTTGCATCATCATTTTAAGAGAAGACATTTGCATCATAATGGTGTTCACCAATTTTTGAAACATTAAAAATGAAAAATGAAAAAAAAGGGCAAAAACATATTCAAAAGATAAAAAATTTTCAAGAATTTCAACGAGATGGCACAAGATGAGAGCTTTAAGCCCAGTCTAACTAGTAGAAAATTTGTAGACCTAGTGAAATTGGCATCAATCAAGAAAAATATTATGATAAATTGTTTTCAAAATCACTCGATGGCAATATTCGAAGTCATTTGCATATTCTCGGTGGTGATATCCAAGTGTTAAAGCTTGATTTGTATTTTCTTGGTGGTGATATCCAAGTGTTAAAGCTTGATTTGCATTCTCTCAATGGTGATGTTCGAGTTTCCTTCGGTGATGATATCTGAAGTCATTTGCATTTTATCGGTGGTAATATCTTAGCATTAAAAAATTATTTGCATTTTCTCAATGGTGATATTCGAGTTTCCTTCAGTGGTGATATCCAAGTGTTAAGGTTTGATTTGCATTTTCTCAGTGGTAATATCTGAGTGTTAAAAAATCATTTGCATTTTCTTCGATGGTGATATCCAAAGTTATTTACATCTTTTCGGTGGTGATATCTGAGATTATTTATCCTTCGATGGTGATATTCGAAGTTATTTTTTAGTGGTTTAATTTATTTTTGTTGAACCTCTACCTAGAGGAGCCTTTTTCAAAATGAGATTTTAAAGTTACAGAGCCTCTGCTAAGATGAGCTTCTTTAAATTTTCAAAATTTGTTGAGCCTCTTCTGATAGGAGCTTTTTCAAGATAAATTTTTAAATTTATTGAGCCTCTACTTGGAGAAGCTTTTTCCAAGATGAATTTTTAAAGTTGTTGAGCTTTTGATTAGAGGAGCTTTTTAAATTCCAAAAGAAAAAAAAGAGCTTTATGCCCAATGTTTCTTCTTTCCGAATAAAATGGTTCTCTATTTGTCTTTACCTTATTCCTGATTCTTAGAAATAGGCAAAAAGGGATAGTTATAGACACCATTTTATTATTTATTTATTTCTTTTCTTTTCTTTTTCATTTATTTATTTTCTTTCTTTCTTTTTTTTTTTTTTTTTTTCTGATAGTGGCTCTAACAACCACCTACAACTATGCTATCAGTAGCCCTGATAGCCACCGATAGTCATTCTAATAGCTGGTGGCTGCGCTAATCCTAGGCCACCAAAATCTCATATTTTGCTCTATAAATAAAGCAATGAATTCGAAGAAAAAAAAGGAGACCTCGTAAAAAAAAAAGGTTTCCAGAATAAAAAAATTTTCTACTTTAAAAAAATCATACAAACAAAATATACAGTTCTCGTCGATTAGGTGAGGAACCCAATGCCAAGCAAGACCTATAAAAATTAAAAAATACATCAATTTTGGTTTATAAAAAAAAAAGAGGAAGAAGACAGAAACTTTGAGCCCCCATCTACGTCGATTGACACTATTTCTAGCTAAAAGAACACCAAATTCAGAAAGTGGCATCAAAGAGAGCTTTTTGGAGCATTTTGGATTTTTGGCCACCGATGACCACCGACAACGATCATTGACAGTGACCCTGAAGGCGATCGACGCTGCGGTCCGAAAGCCGAATAGTGTAGAGCTTTGGGGCTCTCTTTGGGGCTCTGAAATTTTTTTTTCTAAAAGGGGTTTGGAATGAATTGAAAAAAAATTGGTTTTATATAGAAAGCCAAAGCCCAAAACAACGTTGTCTTAGGACCCCAGGATCCACGTGTTGACCTGTAACCCGACCTGGGGTCCGCACCAACCGACCCTTGACTCATTCCTTCAACAACCTTTAATCGGTCCAGTTGAATTGGATCAGATTGAACCAAACCATTGACCAAACCATCGAACCGTTGATTGGACTGCTGAACCGACATTGACCAGACCGTTGACCGATCCGGTTTAGGTAAAAAAAATATTTTTTTAAATTTTTTTAGATTTTTTTATATATTATTTTTTATTTTAAATTTTTATTATTAATATTTATGCATGTTAAAATATTTGAATTTGTCAGAATAAAATTTTGTTGTTTTGTTTTATAATAATAATTAATAAAAATAAATAATGAAATATATAGTACAAATTTGTGATAATTTTGTTATTTTTTAAAATAAACTTTATAATAATAATAAAATAATAAATAATCTAAGGAAAAAAGGAAATTTTTATTCGATGATGAGATTTAAAGGTACTCTGAGTAGTGATACCTACGAAATCTCTAGGTGAAAAGATTTTTCTTAAATACTACCAGTGTATTAGAGTATTTATAAAAAGTTTTCAATACAATAAAAATTTTCTCTTTATAAAAATAGTAAAGTAAAAATTAACTAATTCATTAAAAAACAAAGTGATAAAGGAATAGTAATAAAAAAAAAGAAAAAAGAAAACTTTATCTGATGATAGGATTTTAAAAATATTCTGAGTAGAGATATTTTAAGAAATCCCTATGAGAGATGATTTTTTTAAATATTACCAGCGTATTAGAATATTTATAAAAAAATTTTAATATAAAAAAAGTTCCTCTTTTCTTCAAAATAATAATAATAATGTAATAAATAAAAATCAATAAAATTTCTAAAAAAGAAAATAAAATACATGCATCAACATATTAGCATTTTGCATTGCATGCATAATAAAGTTTTTGCAAAAAGTAAATTCAAATATCCGAGGATGAGATTCTAAGATATTCCATGAAGCGATGTCTAAGAAATCTCTAGGTGAGAAAAAGTTCATCTAATGTTACTAAAGTATTGGAACATTTTAAGAATTATTTCAATAAAAAGATTCTAATTTTTTTTGAATAAAAATAAAACATTAAAAAATTAAATTAAATTAAAAAATCAATTTCCAATAAATGAAAAATCAAGAAAATTGTTTTTCAAACACCAAAAATAAGACTGTTTTTATTAAAATCAATGGATAGCACATAGTTAAGTGGTACCGTTTTTAAACGGACTCTGTGGGAGTGCTAATCTTTTTTCACACGTAACCGACTCCTATAACTAAATTGTTTCGTAGACTATAAAATTATATTTTTAATAAATTCTAAGTAATTTTAAAATCTTATTAAAAGGATAAATTTTAATAGGTGGTCAATTGCACCTAACCAAAAAAAATTGGTGGGGACTCCTTTTCTTTTTTTTTTTTCAAATTTATCGGGCGGACACAAAACCATTACGACACTAAGTAACTTGGTATGGCTTTATTTATCTGGTAATAACCTTTCTGGTTCTATCCCCAATGAAATAGGACAGCTTGGATCTCTTATCACAATGCAGTTGTTAAGTAATAATCTCACTGGTGTCATCCCAGCTTTCATAGGAAACTTAACCAAATTGTCTACTCTTTACCTTTTTAAAAATAAGCTTTTCGGGTCAATACGTCAAGAGATAGGGATGCTTGTATCTCTTACAGAACTTATTTTCTTTGATAACAATTTCTCTGGTTCAATCCCTGCTTCCATAGGAAACTTGACCAGCCTATCTACTCTCTACCTTGATCAAAATATGTTTTTTGGTTCAATCCCTACTTCAATTGGAAATATGATGGTGTTAAGTCTTCTATATAATCATTTATCAGGGCCAATTCCTTCGTTCAGCAATCTTACTCATTTGGAATCATTCCAAATATCAGACAACCATCTCGGTAGTCCATTACCCGAGAATGTATGCCTCGGTGGACAACTCATATATCTTGGGGCTATCAATAACAATTTAACGGGTCTGAACCCATCAAGTTTAAGAAACTGCAAAAGCTTTTACATAGTTAGGCTTGAAGGAAAGCAGTTGACAGAAAATATATCAGAAGCTTTTAGTATATATCCTAATTTGAATTATATTGCATTAAGCAACAACAACTTTTATGGTGAACTTTCTTCAAACTGGGTCAATGCCATAGTCTAACAAGCCTATGAATCTCCAATAATAACATTTCTAGAAAGATACCACCTGAGCTGAAACATGCAACTCAATTACAAGAAGTCGATGTCTCTTCAAATCATCTCATGGGTGAGATTCCCATGGAATTGGCAGCATTGACATTGATGTTCAATCTTTTGCTAAGTGGTAACCAACTTTCAGGCAAAATTCTATCAGAGATTGGAGTTCTTTCAAACCTAGGACATCTTAACTTGGCATCAAACAATTTAAGTGGATCAATTCCTAATCGACTTGGAAAGTGCTCTAAGTTATTGAACCTGAATTTGAACAAGAATAAACTTCGAGAAAGCATTCCAATTTCAATAAGCTACATAAATGGTCTTGAAAATCTAGATTTAAGTCAGAATTTACTTATTGGGGAGATACCACAACAGCTTGCAAAATTACTTTCCTTGGAAATGTTGGGCCTTTCTGACAATATGCTCAATGGTTCCATGCCAAATTCTTTTAATGATTTACAAAGCTTGACTGTTGTGAATATCTCTTACAATCAATTAGAAGGTCCTATTCCCAACATTAAGGCATTTCATGAGGCTTCATTTTATGCCTTAAGAAACAATAAGGGCCTATGTGGTAATGCCACTAGGCTAATGCATTGTGTCGTCACTGCTGCTAGCAACAACGTTGGCCATAGAAAAAGCACCAAGGTCATCATTTTCGCTGCGTTTTCACTCTTTGGTCTTCTTCTTTTAGTCTTTATCATGGCTGGAAGTTTCTTTATTCTTTGCCAAAGGAACCGCACTAGAAAATCTGAGTCAATGGAGGCACAACTTGGAGATTTTTTCACATTGTGGGGATATGATGGAAGAATAATCTATGAGAACATTATTAAAGCCACTGAAGATTTCAGCTCCAACAATTGCATTCAGGAGGCTATGGAGCTGTTTATAAAACTGTGCTACCCAATGATGAGGTGGTTGCAATGAAGAAACTTCACCAATCTGAAAATAACATGATTTCCAACAACTTGAAAGCCTTTGAAAGCGACATTCATGGTTTATCAGAAATAAGGCCTCGTAACATTGTGAAGCTGTATGGCTTTTGTTCACATCCAAAGAACTCATTTTTGGTTTATGAGTTTGTAGAAAGGGGAAGTTTGAAAATGGTGTTAAGGAATAAGGACGAGGCAATGGAGTTGGATTGGGAGAAGAGGTTAAATGTTGTAAAAGCAGTGGCCCATGCCTTGTCTTATATGCATTATGACCATTCACCACCTATTATTCATTAAGACATTTCCAGCAACAATGTTCTTCTAGATTTGGACCTTACTTGGACCTCACTTGCTGGTACTTTCGAGTACATAACTCTAGGTATTTATTGATCTCTTTTTTTAATATGCTTTAAACAAATAATCATTGAATTAAAAGTATTAGTTTCGTGTGCAAATTGATGCGTTAAAATAAAGTTCCAGTAATATCATGATAGTAACTTTTCAAATTTTAAGTATCAAATTAAGAATTTGACTATAATTCAAGTATGAAATGTGTAATTAATTTTTAAAGTTTAACACTTAATTTTTCAATATTCAATATATCAATATGATGAAGTAAATATAAAATTTTATTTAAATGTTTAAATTTCAATTTTCAAGTAATCTTCTAAATATTCACAATTTCTTTTCAACATGTATTTTATAATCTTCTAAATATTTTTATATAATAGTGTATTGGTTAGATATATTTGTTGCTTAATAGAGCACATTGATTAGATATATTTCTTTAAGCAAAGTTTGCTTATACAATGAAGGTAGATGAAAAATGCAATGTACATAACTTTGGGATTCTATCAGTGGAAGTTCTTATGGGAAGACACCCTGGTGATATTCTATCATATTTATCATCATCAGCGTTGGCATCGACATCGGCTTTGGTACCTAATGACCTACAGATTTTACTGAAAGATGCGATAGACCAGCGTCTCTCATCACTAGAAAACCAAGTTGCAGAGGATGCAGTCTTTCCTACAAAGGTAGCATTTGTATGCTTGAATGACAATTCCCAAATTCGGCCAACCACGCAATAGGTTGCTCAAGCCCTTACCAGTCAATAGTTTCCATTTCCCAATCTTTTCATGATCATCAAAGTGGGAGAACTGTTGGTCATGGAGTTTGTGGCTAATTAGGTGCTAACAATTTGGATAATAATTCTTAGTACGAGTATAATTTGCTTTCTCAATCTCCTTTTTTCTCTCCTTTGTATTCAAATGTTTGAGCAATCTAATATATATGTAGTTAAATATTTGATTCACTAATGGTAACAATTCATTAATAAATAAAATTAAAATTTGTTAAATCCTTAAAAATAAATTACTTTTTATATATACAAGGTTGATGGGTTCAATAAAACCAAATCACTTAAATATAGTAGATGGAAAATTTAATCAGAAATTAACATAAAAAGAAAGAGAGATTAGAGAAACTTTTTTTCAGTTTTAGTTTCACAGTATTGTTGGATAGTAACATTGTCGTTTGGAAACTTTTGGTTAAAAGCTTCTTTTCCATTTGTATCAAGCACTTTTTGTTTTATTTTTGTTTTGTTTTGTTTTGTTTTTTTTTGGAATTGGAGGTAGATCAGTGATTTAAATGTGACTTTTTAACAGAAAAATAGATGCACTTATTATTAGCTAAATGATCATGTCAAAAGTTTTGTTTTCTTGTAATTATATATTAAAATTGTGTAATAATCCTAAATAAAGGAATTGTGTAAATTAACACTAACATTGAACCTACTATATTTAAAATATTAAAATTTAGCTTGAGCGTGTGAAATATTGAAATTTCCTTAAGTTTTCATGTAAAATAAGGTTTAATTAAATAAAAAATAATATTTTATGATTACATAAAAATAATATTCTATGATTTCATTTAGATAAATATAAGATGACCGAACCTGTACAAGCATGAAAAACATCAGAACTTGAAATGATGTTAAGCAAGAAGACATGATTTGGATAATTCAAAGGAATATATATTTTGCTAATTATTTAAGTATAAATTACATTGGCTAGCACGGATGATCAAGTACTTAATCAGCCCCTTTCCAGCTAATTTCCACAAAGACTAATAAACTAACGTGTTCACGGCAATAATAAATTAGTAAATGTGTTACACGCACGAGTCAACTCAAGACCGCAAGTCATGAATGTGGTAAAAACATGTCGGCATTATTGAGTACATATTAGGGTATGATCAAAATATTGCAAACCCACATAAATCATGAATGACCAGGAACACTCTTTGAAAGACTTCTCAAGTCTTCCACCAATTGACATTGGCGTCAATTTTAGATGTTTCTACTTTTTTCTTTATTACGGAGAAAGGCAGTTAACTAGGTGGGGAATATTTTACTCTTATTCTAGTTTTAAATGAGTGCTATGCTCACGATGAATAAATCAATTATAACTTTTATGACATTTATATAATAATATTTAAAAATTAAATGTATTTTATTAGGATTTAATTCTTCAATAAGTATTTTAAATGGACAATTAGTCAATGAAAAATGTCATAACGTCTAGATCCGGGGATCTATCGCTAGACATTGACTTAAGGGAGTCGCCACCAATCTTGTTTTATCTAGGTGCGATTGGCCACCTAAAGAATCTGTCCTTTCAAGGAACACCTAAGTTCAGGGGTTCCTAAAAGAATAGGTTCAGGTCTACTAACCAGAACAGGGTTCGGGAGTTCGGTTACGTGTGAGGAAAGTTATAGCACCCTCACAACGCCCATCAAAAGATGGTACCAGCTTAAATTTGTGTTATCCAATGAGCCTTAAAAATTTACCAAGTGATTAATTATTGGAAATTATTCTCAATTGACTCTAATACTTTTAGCAGAAAATTGAGAAAATTCCCTCACCTCAGGAGTTTGCAAGAAAACTACTGTCTCACTTACAGAGGCTCCATCGTCGGATTATTTAACATTAAAAAAAAAAAAAAAAAAAAAAGAATGATTGTTTTTGTGCCGGAAAAATTGATACTTTCAACTTTTTCCTAAAATATTTTTTAAAAATTTTAATCTCGAGGAAAATTGATACTTTCAACTTTTCCCCAAAAATATTTTTTGAAAACTTTAATTTCGAGGAAAATTGATACTTTCAATTTTTCCTAAAAAAAAAAAACCTTTTTTGAAAATTTATTTTTAAGGAAAATTGATACTTTCAACTTTTCCTCAAAAAAAATCATTTTTTTGAAAACTTTATTTTTAAGTAAAATTGATACTTTTAACTTTTTCCTCGAGAATATTTTTTTTTTGAAATTATTATTTTTATTATTAAACAATGTTTTTAAATCACAAAAACATAAAATAAGTGAATAAATGACATGCTAGAACAAAAAAAAAAAAAATCAAAACGGGAAAGAAAACATCTTACCAAAAATTGAGCTTAATCCCGAATCAAAACCAATTTAAGCCAACTTTTTGAATCAGGCCTAGATTGTTTCTTGAATGGGTTCCAACTCAAGGCTTTGGTTTCGATTAATGAATGGCTCGGGTTTAAGGTCTTGGGTGAGCCTATCTTGAAGCTGGTTTTGCTAACTGTATTCCTCTCTATCATCACAAACATAGGATAGGCAGCTGCTCTTCTTCGAATAAATGCAGAGATGTCTGGTGCTAACGTCAATTCTGGAGGTGACACACGAACAGTCTCCATGTCCTTCTTAGCAAAAGGGTGGCAGCAACTGACTGTTTTTAGAAAACTGAGAAGCTGGCAAGTTAGGAGCTGCAACAGGTAATGAGACATTCATGGCTAGATATTTCATAGATTGCTGCATGGAAGGTGGCATTGGCAAGCCAGGTGGGAGTCGGAGTAAGGGTTGCTGCTGTGGAGGAAGACCATTTGTTGACCTGTGGTAACCTTGCCAATATATAAGCATGGAAAACCCACCATTTGTGGTTGGAGCAGATGATGGCCTCCAGCTGCCAGCCTTGGTACTTTCCCAAAGTTCTTCTGTATTGATTTCAGAAG